GATGGGTGGGCTTCAACTCCCAGAATTCCCCAGACAGCCATGTGGGAGTTGAAGCCCACCCATCTTAAAGTCGCCAAGGTTGGGAAACACTGCTGCTCTAGGTCATTTATATAGTTGTTTGAAAGTGAAGGTTGAGGACAGTCCCATCTTCTCCAGGCAGTACAGAACTGTTGATGTGGCAGAAACGTCTAACCCGCAGTTCTCCCCTTGGCCAAATGTGTGAATGGCAGATCTTGTCAAGCGCGTTACCAAGATCGAGGTGCGCTGCAGCCAGGCCCTCTGTCACAAAAGGCTGGCCTGGCGTGGCTTGTTCTTGGCCGACCGTGATCATTTGCCAAGCCCCTGAGGACGCGCTACGTGCCATCTTCCTTCCCCTCTTTGGGCGCTGGAACTGTGTTTGTTCTGCTTCTTGGGCCTCTCGCTCTTTCCCGGGGGTTTCCAAAGAGCGCAGCCAGCAGTTCTGAAATAATCAGGGAGAATCTTGCCGGCAGTCTTCAAATTTAAAAACATGCAGTAGACGTATTTTTTTGTTGCTAAGACAGCATTAGAAGCAACAGGTGGAGAAGCAGATTGTGGCTAAATATTAACGGTGTGAGCTGTTTCGCAGCAGAGGAGGGCTGCGGTGGGCATTCTGGGGAGCTGCCTCGGCGATGCAATAGTTACCTTGTAAATGCCGCATTCCTTTGAGGGTAAGAAGCTGTTCCACGCTGAGTTTATGGAACGAGTGACATTGAATCTGTCTGTTAGAGTGCCGAATCTTACTATTTATTTCACTAAATAATTTCAATAAAGCTGTTGCGCCCTCTGTGTGAGGGCATGCAAGAGAGCAGGTCTTTCCCCTGCCTTGTGCCCAAGTCCCTCTTTCCAACATCCCAGAGGGCTGCGAGGGCCGGTGGGCCAGCGGCTGCTGCCAAGCAGGACCGGGGGGGGGGTGGATTTGGGCTAAGCGAGTGTCGCCTGCATCCCGCTCAGTCTGCGTCGCCTTGGCAACGGAGAGGCGGATGCCCGTGGCCTGGGAGCGCCCAGCTGGCACTGCGGCAGCAGGAGTGCCGGCAGTCCCTGAGAGGCAGATGGGCCGCCGGGCTCCCTCCGAGCCTGGAGT